TGTCATCAGACAGATAAAGTTGTATGTAGCGCATGTACTGTACGTATGCCGGGCTGCAGGGGCTGCAGACTGCATGGTGCAGTCCCTTATGCCAAGTGTTGGATTTCACTAGCCACAACTGTATTACACAGCATGCCAGGACTGTACTTTCACACATCATGCATGCCTGGCCGGCCAATGCGCGCATATGCATGCATAGAAATTTAAAATAAAAATCGTCGGTGCGCCGCCAAAAATCGGTGCGCGCGTACTTGACAATCAAAGATAAATTTTACCATGGCCTTACACAGAAGACAAATGTCCAATGTAAATGGCACCTGAACCTACTATGTACTATTACAATAGTACCGTACTATCTCCATTATAAGCCCAGCACTTATATTTTTTCAACCAGTCCGGACCCTGGGCTTATATTGGAGACTGGGCTTCTACTGTAGTCAGTTTCAAAAAGATTAGCAATCCTGGCGATCGCCCGCGGAGTTTGCCGTCTTACCGTATGAGCGCTCGAGCGCTGCCTGGAAAAACTCACTGTCAACTGGAAGAAATATTCCGCGCGAAAGCATGAAAAATGACAACTCACTGACGTCGGTACTCGTACATGTTCGTCTGGTTTACAACAAACGAGCTCTTCCTCGCATCGATATGGAGTCAGAGAGGACATGTCGAAAGTGTGGTAAATTTTGACGAGCGGGATGCGTCCGTTTTGTGACCAAATAGATTCTTTGAGCTGCCGCGGATGCAATTTATTCTCACGGTGTGACGAAAACGGCATTGACACAGACTCATTCCCAAGGCCTTGAAGTGGCAGAGCTATCCGTGTGACTTCGACGACATTGTGACAAAAGCAGACGCCTGTGAAAGCTTATAGAAGACGGTGTTGACTCCTAAATTCAAATAAATTGGCGATCTTCAGTTACTAAAATAATTCTCAAACAGAAATCGATCGATCGATGTGCCGGTGTATTCAACAACACGTAGCTACAGCGCAATGACTTCCGTGTTCACAACTTCAAATGGCGTGAGCCAATCAAGTGTCAGTCAGTTCGGCAGGAAACGCGAGCTCCAACAACAAGTCGTTTGGCGCAGCCACCTTCTTTGTCTTGTACCAGCGTGATCACCAAAACAATGAAAAATCAAGAAAAAATATTTCACTTGAAGATTTGTTGGGATTTGAACTCACAACTTCATGGGCAGCAGACAGCATGCATAACCACAAGGCCAAAAAGGAAGGGATAAATCGTGGGTTTTGATAACAAATCGATACTGGCTTCCAGGGCAAATTATAAACCATGGGAAAAGGCCAGAAACCTGGCCGAAATACTAACTCCTTAACGGTTGGTCCAATTGTTCTGAAACCTTCACAGAACAATTTGCCGTGCCCTAACAAGCCGTTTTATGTACTTTGTTGTCCGAATTTCCCTTATCTTCATACTTTTTAAGACCCAAACTTGATTGCTAATCTTTTTGAAACAGACTGTAGAGACTGGGTTTATAATTTTCCAACCACCTGCTACATGAACATTGCCTATTATTTTTCATTCCCGCAGCTATGCAGAAGACGTTACTTTAGTAACGTCTGGCGCTAGCCAGGGTCCACACTGCTTTAAGTTGTTATTCGTTTGTTTATGTGTTTGTGTCACGCCTGGCGCTATCCCATATCTGTCCTGTACCCTACCGTAGCATCAAACACAGCTAGCTGGCCACATACAGCTGGTCGCTATATTTAAATAGGGCTTTCAAACGCAAGATCATAGCGTGAAGCAACTTGGAAGAATGAGTATGAATGCTAAGTGCATGGGATAATGCATGTAGGGCGATAGTGCGGGTTCGAATCCCAGGATATGCCTTAAAAAACGAAATAGGAAAATTGAAAAATTTATAACATCCCTATGTTTTTTTTGGCGTCATCAAGGCGGTAGACGGTGTTGTATTACCCTCGACCGTACCTGTCCCGTACCGAACCATCAAACACGGCTGGCCACAATGCATATTCAAGTAGGGCTTTCAAATGCAAGATCATAACGTGACGCAACTTGGAAGAATTAGTATGTATGCGAAGCGTATCGGGGGATGCATGCAGGGTGCGCGATAATGCGGGTTCGAATCCCAGGTTATGTCTTTAAAAAAAAAAGGAGAAATTTATAAGAATTTATAACATCCCCATGCTTTTTTTGTCTAGGTCATCAAGGCAAAAAAGCATAGCGTAGGGCCCTGAGCTTCCAAGCTCTCTCGTTATATCAGTAGCACAATGCTTCCCAGGAGGCACCCGGACTGCAGTTTTGTGCTTCCTGGTACACTGAGTCTGTACTTTAGATCTCGGGATCGCAGTCTTTTACCACAGCATGTGTTTATGTGATACTGTGTGATACTGTGTGATACTGTGTGACGTCAAATATGCATGGACATGATCCGTACGGTTCTCCATTATAAGCTCTGCGCTTATATTGGAGACTGCACTTGTATATCTTCGAAGCCCTCTTGGAGTGCGCTTATAATAGAGACTGAGCTTTTAGAAGAGACTGCGCTTGCAATAGAGATAATACGGTATTCCTTTCTTCCTATAA